TAGAGAAATTTCACATGTGAACCTAAAAGAATCTGGCATTGCCATTGATTTCAAGGTGGAAGAGAACAACAGCATATATTTGGCATCACTCCTTCTATGATTTTCTTGGCTGGAGCCAATCCCAGCTGACATTGGGTGAGAGGAGTGCTGCAGCCTGGACAGGTCACCATTGTTCTGGAGAGACAAACAACAATTGACACTCACACTTACACCTACGTTCAATTTAGTCTCCAATCAACCAAACACAATGTGCATGTCTTTGTACAGTGGGAGGAAGCTGGAGTACCCAGAGACAACCCACTCCAGACTCCACACAGATAAACCCCAGTCAAGCCTGGATTCAAACCAGGAACCTTCTTGCTGTGAGGCGGCAGTGCTGCACTGTGCAGCAGTATCCAGACTACAACTGATGATATAAAGATGTAAAAGAACCCAGCTATGTTTCATGTAGCTCACTGAGTTGTCACAAGAAATACATGTTATACAGTAACAGACAAAGATTATCATTGTTTTCCTTTAATATTTCCATCGGCAGACCAATACGGGGAAATGTAACTCCAATTTTAGGTCACCATTAGTGTCATCTTTACTTTAGATAATGCTAATCTTCTACGATTTCTGTATGCAAAGGCTCTGACTCATTCACACACACAAAGCCTATGTCAGTCCTCTTTTCAAATATTAAGTTCAACTGAAGATAAGAGTGTCAAGCTGTCACATTATCTCTGAAGTCCCTGTGTGTCTGTGTGTTTTCCACCTTGGCTGAATGAAACGGGTGATAACCACAGAGACACCCACCAGAATGCTAATAAGAGCATTTCGACACACTTTGTTGATTCCACCACTCGCAGCAGGATTGTTCATGATGACATGTTTCTATTAATAAGTAAGCAGATGGGAAATTTCAAATTGCAAAGCCTGAATTTCATCATTATTAATGGACAGTCCTCAGCGTAGCTCCTGCAAAGAAAAAAACACCTGATACTCAGCTTCTCCTGCTCTCAGACTGAAGCTGCTTTGTCTAACAGCTCTATGAGAAGGCTCTTCAGGTTATGAATAGGATCATAAGTGGCCTGTTAATAGCATCTGGTACCTCATGAGAAATTAATGTGTTGCCCTTGTGGGGTGAGAAGAGCTGCTGTGTGATGTCAGTGTCATGACACTAAATCCGCGTGTCAGCCTTTCAGCTGTGTTAGCTGAGCAGTCTTATGTCCTGCTGTTAAAAATGTATCACACAAAAAATACACTGGTATTAAAGTTTCTCTGGACAGACTGATGCATGATTCAATCAGGAGAGACAATTAGAATGAAATTAAATTTATTGTGAACATAGACTTTGGATTCTGACTCCAGCAGGAAGTAGAATTAGGTGTTTTGGATATAAAGGAGACTGGGACACTGGTGATGAAGTTGGCACATCTAATGATGCCTTCTGATTGGACGGTTAAAGGAAGATGACCCCATGTTTTAGGGGTGGAGGTTGGTCATTCAGTTATCATGGTACTGAAGTAATAGGAGGAAGAGATAACATTTTACTCTCTGACAGCTTCCAGGTGATTGGCTCAAGGCGAGTGTCAGGTTGTGATTAGATGAAATTTGAGAATGAGCTGGCAGAGACGAGAGATTGCAAGAACTGTTCATGTGACGTAGGAGCATGTGCGAGAGGATAGAACTGTAACTCAGCTTCATTTCTTAAGATTCACTTTATTGTTATTCACACACACACAAAACAAGTGCACAATTCAAATTACATTACATAGCGTCCAGCTCCCAAATGCCAAATCCCATTATGTTACAAACAGACATTAGAATCTTGTACACAACTGAGTAAAATTGCACAATTTGAATGAATAGATAATCAAGATATAAATAAGATGTCAGAGCTCTGAGCTCAATACTCTTGTTTTAGAATTCACTAGCAGTTGTTTAGTATAACTATATTATAATAATGATAATAAATGTAATTTGTATAGTGCTTTGAACAATTTTCAAAAAAAAAAGAGAAATAAGACTAGAAATATGAAATGTGCATCATTAAACAGGGATTGAAAGCAGTTCTGAAGAGGTGGGTTTTGAGCAATGTTTTGAAGGTGGGCCGATCGGTGGAGTCCCAGAGTCATCTGTCACCCCTGTACTCTGATCCCAAGTCTGTAGTGTTTACTGAATATACTGATGAAGTAGTTTTAACTCTCACAATGAAAAAAAAAAAGCGATCTTCCTACAGTCAGCTAGTTTCGTATCCAGTCTTAAATAAATATCAAGGTGATTTTCTTCGTCGTGAGAAGTAAATCTCCTTCACAGAAACGCATGTGTTTCCAAACAGCTTCTCCCGGGAGCCTGGGAATTGTACCAGCAAGTAAGAGAAAAAAGATGCTCCTCATCTCCGAACATGTTCAGTGTAGCAGAAAAATTTATGCCAAGACTCCTGGACTAGAACATCATAATGACGGTGTTTGTGTGGGTGGTTTTAGGGTCTTTGGGCTCTTCCAATTCAAGTTTACTTACACCTAGCTTGTACTAACATTGCTTTTTGTCATGGATACCTTGGCAAATCTTTTTTGTAGTGCCTGACACGCGCTCACCTCTTGTCACAGAAGGTGTCATTCATTAGCAGTTATGTGACTAATGCTCTGGGCTAATGTGCTAGCCATCTGCTAACCTTCCACCCTCCGAGCCAATAATTTGATTATTCAAACGGAGTGCTGAGCTAACTGTGGTCAGGCCGAGCGCTGCTGGCTGTGAACAGATGTTGACACGTGAACTAGCAGCCCTCAGCCTTGAACTCCACGCAGCTTCAAGCAGCGCAGCCGTCGTCCTCTGCCACTCAGACACACAGTGATATCCAGCGACAGGCTTTACCAGGCAGGGCCGCGTCACCAGCTCCACTCGGTCCTGATGAGATCTGGAAATAAGATGCAGCAGAAGGCCAGAAGGAGGAGGAGGAGGAGGAGGAGGGTACAATTCGATCACTAGGCAGCTGTGTTTCCCACAGGCTGACTGATCTGTGTGTGTGTGCATGCGTGTGTGCATGTGCATGTGCGCCTCCTCAATATATGAGGTTGGCCTTAAGTTTGCCCACACTGCCAATGAATCCCGAGCTTAGTTTGACCTCGGCTGTATGACTAATGCCACGTTCATCTGTGGGAGGATGGAACGGAGGTAGCAGTGGGAAGAATTCCCATGTTTTTGACTGTCAAGCTTTTAGGTGGAGCTGCCAGTCGAGAAGCAAAACACGAACTAGAAAAAAAGCGAGAAAACCACACAGTCAAACCTTTAGTATTTCAAAAGTAACAAACCTGGTGCTCTGGCCTGCCATGCTATAATTTTCCTGCCAAGGCCGTGACATGATGTGAAAGTAATTTTATAGTGTTCTGAGAACTCTGACACATTCACTGTGTGTCATGTGTCACTGAAATTGATTGAAGTTGCAGCGAAGTAGCTTGATTGAGCATCTACTGGTGGTAGAGTGCGCTGGAGGAGAGATAGCAAGCATATTCTAACTGTGGTTGAATTCCAATAAACAAACACTTATTCTGTATATGGGCTGTAACTGAAGCTTGAAAGGAATGATTAGTTAAAGGGGGGAATTGTTTGGTCATAGTGTACAGCGACTATGTTCTCTCTAGTGTATGTTAAAGAAGCACTTCATATCATAAGCTCATTATATCGGAGCCATAAAGTGATTATGGGCTCCAGTCAGGCATTGTACTGCTGTTGACAGGATTAAACATTTTTAGAGAGAGAGAGAGAGTGAGAGCCGCTGCTCTTTGCTCGAGTGTTTGCTTGCTTTGTATGAGCCGGTATTGAAAAGGGCTGCATGCTTGACTGTTTGCCAGCTGTGGCACAACCTCACTCCGTTCTTTTACTCATTCATCTCCTGCCAGTCCGTCTGTCTGACAGAGATATCTGTCTGCTGCAGCAGGGTCGTTTTTCATAGACTTGGCATCACCTGGTGTTCAATTGTTTCAATCAATCTATCTATAAAACTTTATTTGTATGCCACCTTTCATACAGGGTAGTACAGCTGACAGTTGACAGATGAGCCAAGAATAAGTCAAAATAAATAAAAATGCTGACAATGAAAAGCTGTTGTAACACTGAAGGAAAAGGTCAATAAAAGGGGATAAAAACATATAACTAGAATGGCACTGAATTAAAGAATTAATCAAGCTCCAAATATCACACACTGGGCTAATTGGGGGATAATTGAAAACATCAAAAAACGCCCAAATAATGTGATAGTAAGTGATACGAAAGTCCTGGATTCTTCCACCATGTTTTGTGATGATCTTTCTAGTAGTTTATGTGTGGTCTTTCTTACAACCAAACAAATGGACAGGGGTGAAAGTATAACCTTGGTGGAGGTAATTATCTAGTACCTGTATGTGTCAGATAAAGACACTTGTTCTAAAGTACCAAGTTTTAAAGAAGGGAAGTACTCAAGTAAAGTATAAATAACAATGAATTTGTACTAGGTACTTGAGTCACTTTAAGAAACTGAGGATTTCTTAGACTGAGATGTCATAGCAGAAGGAATATACACCCAGACAGGGGTGAAAATATAACCTCCTTGGTGGAGGTAATAATATTATTAACAGACTGATGAACAACATATAAAAGTAAGATTCTTAGCAAAGGAAATCCTTGAGGCTCTCAAAGCAGCAACTCTCTCTTGTCAGTGTGGTATTGATTAGAAGCTGTGTCACTGCAGCTCAAGTGCAGAATTCCTTTAAGTGATGAGGGCTTTTTTCAAAGTAATGTCTGTGAGCAAAAGTTTATACAGCTTCCACTAGCACTGTTGTTGAATTGTAATAATTTAGATTTTTATTTAAAAGACATATCATAAGAGACTACAGTAGCAGTGTAGCTATTTATTTATTGAAGTATTCATTGGCTGCTCCACTAAATGTATCATCTGTATGTATCTGTCCATATTTATACACACACTAATTTGTTCATGTCTAGATGTCTAATAAGCTCTCCTCTACTTCCTCCTGCAGAAGAAGACCAGGGTTGTGAAGACACAGGAGAAGAAGGAGAGGTGGAAGGAGAAAAAGGTGGCGAAGCGGCAGAAGAAGGAAGACGAGGAGGTGGAGGAAGAAGAGGAGAATGTCCAGCCCGTGGTAGATCCGCTGGAGAACGGCTTCCTCCATCACGCCCAGCGGGAGCAAGAGAGGATGAATGAGCGGCTGCTGAAGAAGACTTACTCCAAGAAGAACAAAATGGTCAGTCACATATTTCCAAGTAAATCTCGTTTAGAGAAGTCCAACAAGTGTTGCATTCATGGGCTGCTGGTTTGTGCTTCTGATAAAATGAAAGAGATGTTGGCTTTTTAGCTTTTACACAACTATTCTTAAACAAGGAAGCAGGACTGACTATTTTTCCAGATATATTCTTTCCATCCAGCTGACTTCTGCTCCTCATTCACTGTAACGCGGGAAAAAAAAAAAAACTTTGGGGGATTTTCCGAAAGAGTTGAACAGCATGAACCTCAATTGTCTGGTGTGATTTGACTCATTCTTGTGTCAGCAGGGACTTTGTACCATAGTTGTTAAGAGATAACGTCACCTCATTGGAGACATTTGAGTACCCTCTATCTGCACCATCAAACCACATATCAGTGTTCAGAAGAGGAGAAACTCATTTCCTTCAGATCAATCTGCTAAAGGCTGTCATGTGGAGTTTTCACCTGTTAGGAGCTGTCAGAAATCAACTTTATATTACTCATCAGTCATTTTGAAAATGGTTTGTGTCATTATGTCATTTTCTTTTAACACTTATCGTTCTTTGTGTTTGAAATATAAGTATTGACCCAGTTTTAGGTCCTGTCCCAATTCCTCTCCCTTGGCCCTACCCTTAGATATGATGTGCCCTTTGCTGGGACTGTCCCCCTCCGAACGGAGCCACAAGGGAGAGGGCTAGAAAATCTTCCCCTAGAAATAGTGACACCACTCGCTACTTCATCAGTAGTTAACCAACGTTATTACAGTGACAATAACAACTGTTATCAACCCACATTATGATAGTGACACATCTGACAACTGCAGGACAGACGGGACAGATTGATCCATTGATCTATTTTTTCCAACTTAGTTTACTGGACACAGGAGTAACTCTCTCTCAGACTGTTTACATGCTTGTTTTGAGTGAATCGCAATTTTCCTGAAACAATTCAATGACACATGATTGCTACTGGATGAAAGTAAGATAATCTGCTAAATTTAAACATTTTCTCATGGTTATTGTGCAAGATATCGTACTGACATTTATGAGCTTTTTACCCGCTCTGTTAGTAAAGCATGCAGGAATTGTCATCTACCCCCTTTGTTTTTAGTGGGGTCTTGAATGCACTATGGTTGAAGGGGTGTTTGAAGGGCTAGAGGGCCACTACCCCTATATTACATAGAAAAATAGGACAACACTACCCCTTCATAGATTTGCACAAAGCGAAGGGGTTATTATTCACTATAGACTTCTATCAATCAATCAATGACATTTTATTTGTATAGCCCATATTCAGAAATCACAATTTGTTTCATTGGGCACAAGAGCAAGGAAAAACAAAAAATAGCTATTAACAGGGGGAAAAAACCTAGAAACCTCAGAGAGAGTGACATGTGAGGGATCCCTCTCCCAGGACGGACAGAAGTGCAATAGATGACGTGTGTAGCTGAGCACCTCAACAAAATTACAATACTGACAACACTGATTAGAAGAAACAGCCAACTGTGATCATGCAGTCACTTGCTGAGACCCAGTGGATTGCTTGCACTTGTCTACTTATAAATGTATTTGCTTGGTGGTGACAGCACTTTGTTCTATTTTTAAGCGAAGCAAAGTTTGAATAGAGTTCAGCAAAACCCTGAGCACAGCAGTGACGCTGCAGCTAATACAGTGGAGAGGACACACAAAACTGAACTGGTTTGCTATTATTAGGCCTATTTTCCCTGCAGTATATAAAATTTACTTGAAACCTATGTGCGCACAGACTATCTGATAAGGGAGACGTCTTCCACCAGCGGGTCAGTGAACCACGACGCTGGCCGTTTTGTGTCCCCTTCAGCCTCGCCAGGCTCCAAGCTCGGCCAGGTCCAACGCTATCGTATGGTTTCATAAGTGGTCGGGCAGTGTCCCCGTCATAGTAAAGTAATGTCGTGAAATAGAATCTGTGCTCTGGCTAACTGTCACCAGAGCCGTGTCTTGACTCGAGGTTGGGTTGCCACGTGCCACCAGCTGCTGTTGCACTCATTGGTCTCTCAGGTGTGTGTTGCTTCCAGGTGTTTTGAGTTGTCCACTAGAATGGGAGTTAACCCTGCCCACTACCTCGCGCTGCACCCTAACACTCCAACTCATTCCAAACATAGATAAACAAACCTCCTAATGTAATAGTAATAACAGAGGTGCACTATGGGAGTTGTTAGGGCTCTGGTTGCTAAAAGAGAGAAACACTGTTATGGGCAAGAGCCAGTTAAACAACATTAGGACATTACTGAAGTGTGACATATTTGGGCTGTGGTTCGACCCCTGGCTGCTCCGTTCAAATTGCAGAAGAGTCTCAGGGCAAAACACTGAAGCCCAGTGAGTTATGTGTGATCCAGAAAGTGCGACACATAGATGCACTATATGAATGTGTGAATTGCAAAACTAGACTGTAAAGCACTTTGAATAGTCATCAAGTAAAGAAAAGCACCATATAAATACAGACCATTAATGACTTGTGTTTGTGTTCATGAACAGATTGTTGTCTCACTGCTTTCAGGTGGGTTCAAACTGCCACCTTACCCTTGTTTTCCTCTCCCGACTGCAGAAGTGGCTCTCTGTTTGTTTATGCAGATACAGCTCTGCCAATATCCCCAGCTTCAAGCACACTGCTGAGCCCACAGACTCCGAGTCTGCCCCAGCGAGATAGCCCATCTATGTGTTAACAGTTTGTGTAAATGGGAGGATGTTTTTCTGCTCCTGTCTGAGGCCAAGATCCACCATAGTGCTGTTGAGGATAAGAGGGGGAAATGTAGTCAGGAAGCCAAACTAAATAATGAGGCTGTGTAGCCCGGAGGCCTCCTCCACAGACAAAAATATCTCTCTTAGATAAGATTTCCTCAGGAAGTTAACATGGCTGAAAATGAGTTTGGCTGTGATATTTAGTTTGCTAAGAGACAGTTGGAAATTATGTATTTAGCTGGTGCTCTTATCCACATTGTAAGGGCAGCAGGCTGCAATTAATTCAAGCAGATCTACAATACATTCCAGATATTAAGTTCATTATATCTGCAAACTGCTGCTGTCATGAAAACCATGGAACTTCTGCTGAGCTGAGTCTCATATTCTAACTTCCTCTGAAGATTTACTGCACATGCTCCTGAAGAGATTAAAACAGAAGAGAGATTTTGAAATCAGCCCAAAACCCACTATGTTTTTTTTCTTATTTTTCTACCCATCAGTGGCAAGATATTGTCCCTGGAATACATTATATGAAAATAAAGAATCAGAAACGCTTTATCTTGTGTCTCACATATGCTGTATTGTTTTTCTTTGCTTTCCAAGTAAGATTACTGCATATTGAGAAATTTTATTCTCCATGTTTTAATGAGCCCTTAGTACAGCTTGAAATAATATGTTGGAGCCACATCCACAAATGCTCTTGCCTTTAGATTATATGAGAGGAATGCAATGCCAAATACTTGTGGAAGTGCACAGAAGAGGTCATGGTAACAGTCCAGCAGCAGTCCTCCACATGTTGCACCAGTCATGAGATCAACACAACACAACACAGAAAAAGCTCTGTTCTGTAAATTGCAAAGTGCAGCTGTTTGGTTTTTATATGACAGCAGCTCTATTGCCTCAAGCGGAGTGAATGATTGACTCCTCAGCTCCACAGAGGAACATTTTACTTTAGTCAAGACACATTGACCCCATGCATTGTTCCAAGTCCCCTAAAAAAAAAACCCACCTCAGTCTTGTGATCCGTAGATAACCGGAGACGTCTTCCTTCCCAACTGTCTGATCGATAAACCGCTGCTGACTTCCCCTGTCCTGGTTCTTCCCTGTTGCTCTCACTTAACATCTCTTCTTTCTCTCTCTTAATCTTCGTCTTGGTTTCAGGTGCAGAGATCAAGCACCTAAAGTATCTTTCAACCTGCCCCTGGCTTTAGTCCTCTGAATACAAGAGGTAAAATATGCCTATTAATATTTAACTACATCTCCCAATTCCCAGCTACATTATTATTATTGTTGTGAGAACCAACAATTACGCTGTGAAACAACACTATCCAATTCCAGTCATAATCACAGTGCTGATTAATGAGGCTAATGAGATGATCGTGTTGCATAACTAATAAATTATAGATAACACAATGAATTATGAAGCAGTGGAACCGCACCTTTGAATAAGCATTTTTTAAAAGCTGAATGGATCCTCTGAGTTATATGCTCTTATAATATAATACAGGAATTTGTTACTGCACGACCAAACCAACGTCTGCTGAGGGTCTTGCAGAGGCTGTTTACTAACCTGCCTCATGCAAATCCTTTGTGGGAGCTGATGATCAATATGATTGATTTTCCTCCTGTTTATCCTCACAAATACAGACGCATGTCCTCAGGTCATTGTGTTATATGGGAGGGAGGTGTTCATAGATTCACTCTTAGTGCGTCCAGTGTTTGCTCACTCGCTGCTGTTTACGAAGTGTGTACCTCGCAAAGAAATGTTTCCCTGGTTGCAGAGCAGTTTACAATCATCACGGCTGTATAAGTCAGACTCCAGAGCTTCGTTTTATTTTGGTAAGTCTGAAGTGACTATTTAAGACCAAGTGCTCAGAGTAAAAGAGCTTAAGAGAGATCAATGTGATGATTTCATGCATCCTAAGTGTATCTGATAGATGTAATCACATGCATATAAAACATGTCTGTCTGCAGATAGACTGGGCTTCATTGAGGAGCAGATTTTATCTGCCATAGAAAATGACCTTGGCCGCAGCAGCAACACACTCGATTACAGTCATGTGTTTGTTCAATGTTCGCAGTTCTGTTTGATAGCAAGTTCCTTTACGGATGATATTGTTGATGTACTGTTTACAGTTGAAAGCCTAATGTAGATCCTTCCATGCAACAAAACAGATGTGCACACATAAACACTTTATTTGAGTGTGGACGACACAGAGCAGCCACCTGGGCTTTAAAGCAGGTGTTTATATAAAACTGTAATTTCCTCCCTAATCTGATGTGA